CAATTCTTATTTCCGCCGAAAAAATGTATTTTCGCAAACGCGTGAGAGAGAGGGAGAGAAAGGGGAGAACATGTTCGAAAGAAAAAAAAGAAGAAAAACAAACAAACACAGAGGTAGATAGTTCGTACATCCGTAATTAAAGACCATCGGGAATAACGATGTATTTTTGGAAAAAAAGTCCTAGGAACGCTAGTTACGCTGAGAGAAATTAGTTGACGAGTAATGACAACCGCGTTTCTCCTTTCATATGGGATAATCCGTTATAATTGGCGCAACCGACGAGGGGCCGATTCTTTGTGAAAACAGAACGAATTGAAAATCAGGAATCAACTTTTCACGACTAAAGTTTCGGTTTTCGTGGCAACTCAATTTGGAGTATAATGTTCGACGTTCGATCGTGCATGCAATAAATGAAAAATGATTCGCTATGGTTACATGAAAAAAAAAACACTATTCAGCGTTAAACAATACTGTTTGAATTCGATTTTCCGAAAAACGGAGCGTTATGCGAAGAAACTTGGCTGTACGTTTTCGACTTATTTTTCCATGAAGAACCTCTGTTCATTAATTGTACCACAAATAACGGAGCCACACTGTATGCACGCGACCAATCTCAACGTTGCGTCATTCAATTGCAATATATACATATACACATATATATATTTCTACATAATACACAGCAATGGCCGCGTGTGTAATGCTGGTTTCTGGCCGTGTTAATCCGCCGTCTATCATGATTTCGATTGTACGAAAATTAACGCGTTTAATGCCGCGCCGGTCACCGGCGACCGGCGTTAGGATTCGCTTCATCCCAATCACAGTAACGTAACAGTAAATTATATTATTTATTTACATCGATTACTAATGTATTATACTAAATCTTTTGTTTAATATGGCGCTGGTCACCGGAGTCCGGCAACGATATTTCAAGTATATTACACGAGTTACTGATAACCGGTAACATTCCAATCAAAACACCAAACTTCAAAGTAAAAAAGCCCATAAAAGTCACGGCATTTGACGTGTTGATTTCAAGGTCGCATACCCTAAAATACTTAGTTGCCTCCACCGTTATCGGGGAATCGTGGTTCAGAATAACGCGAGTGTTTTCGTCGCGGTCGTAAACGATCCCCCGTCGGCTCAGAAACTCGCATCGAGAGTATTTTAATCCACGCATTCAAATGATCTCAACGCATGTAGAAAATGATATATTGGCGGTTGATAGCGACAGTGAACTCTGCCAATATCTCGAACTGACTCGACGACTTCGACTAACGGTTAATAAATTATAAATAAATAAATAAATATATATATATATATATATCTGTATAAATATATTTAATGTAAAGGATAGGGTTAGGAGATCGGGAGAGAAGCGGGGAAAACGCGCGATTCAAGGGCTTCGCTGAATCTTGCCGCGAACGAAAATCGATCCCCCGCGTTGACACCGATCCAGGACAAAAAGGATCCTTGGTTATTCGCGAGGCGTGTAATCGGAATAGAATCAATTTAATCGTCCTTGCCCCTTGAGAGGCTGCGCGTCGTCGGGGAAACGAGCCTGAACGATACGATCAATCGGCTCCGAGTATAGCGGCGTAGAAATATCTTGGCAAAGCTTTGGAGGTCGCAGCTAAGTACGCGCCTCGTTAAAATATGAGTATCACGGTTTCATGGTAACCTTTACCAGCTTTTAGCCATCTAAAAAAGAAATTCAGTCTCTCGAATCCAAGCATCGGGACACACTTTTTTTAAGCTTCCTCGCGTGCGATGATAATGCTTTGCCGTTATTTCCACTGAGCTGGAATTTGTAGTCTTCTAGGGTGCTAACGCGCGCAGAACGCTAATCAGCGTTCCATTGATACGCTTGGTGAACGTGGTTCAAACGATTCCGCGCGAACAGCACCGGAAAGGTGAAACATTCGTTGCATC